GCGTTTTTGCTGGCTGTAGCAGCGCTATAGCTGCTATAGCGCTGCACAGCAAAAACGCATAAAAAGTATGAACGGTCACTGTGGTCTGTGTTATGTCACACTCTAAATATTTGACATGTGATACATACTGAAAATGTTTTGTCGGTGTTTTTCTGCGTGAGAAATACCATCAATTCATTGTCACTGTTATAATGTTTCAGCTGCCATGGCAGCTTTCCTCTATTTGCATGGAAATACTGGATATCTGACGGTATTGTTACCGGGAGTAACTACGTGGAACACAGTGGCTGCTGGCCATATCCGTTTCCACCGTGCGAGCATCACAGCAACAAAACACGTTACCCTCCATGCGTGTATGAGCTCTATTCTACGCCAAAATGCACAAAAAAGTGTGACCGCGGATACGGAAGATCATACAAAGTTGACAAATATTATGGTTAGCGAATAACACAATATTTTTTGACCAGTACCCGGAATCTGCAAATACGGAATGTATGGAATATACCAGTTGCGCCTTGCCCTTTGCAAGTTTGCAAAAATGATGTGTGCAAAACAAATTGCATGGTAAAAAGATTATTTCTGTCTATGCAAGCGTTTGTTTGCCCACATAATTTGTCCACTGAACAACGAATTTTAAGAAATCTAAATTTACGGAACATAGTCTGTGACCAGGTCAGACCTGAAGTTTGTACAATTGTCTATGCTCGCAGTCCCAAGTTTAACCATTTTACGACTCATGTTTCACTAAAGTTACAAGCCAAAAATTCTCAATAACTGTCTTATCAAACACTAATTTGGAGCTGTTAAGTTGAAAACAGGTTATCTGTTTTGATTTATCTCAACCGAATTCAGAACAGTTTCATAAACTTTGAAATATCAGTTGCAAATAGAAAACTTGTAGAGATTTATTTGAAAGCGAAGATGAACAAAAACTTCATTGCTGTTTGATAAGGTTTGGTTCAAAAAGCTCAAAGTTTTGGTTCAGTTTAATTATAAAGTTAATTAAAGTAGAGCTTCAAGGTTGAATTGATTTTTTAGCCCGGAAATCGAAATGCGTGGCCTTGCATAAAATGTGCTGAATGGTTTAAAACCAATTGAACGCCATTATTTCTTGATTTTTCTGATATATACTGCTACAAAAACGTTGCGCTGATCCTATTCGTGTTTTTCGTGCGTTAAAAGAGATAATTTTTTACTTTGTATCTTTTCGTGAATTTTTATGCGTTTTTGCTGTGCAGCACTATAGCGCTACTACAGCCAGCAAAAACGCATATTGTTGAGAGGCTGTGTGTGTGTTCGGAAAGCGAGTGAATTTTGTCACCCACTTTCATCTCAGCAACCAGGAAAGCTAGGGGGCTGAAACTTTGGATACATGTTCCTACCCCATGTGTCATCCTCCCGTTTTAAGATCTTTTCCCATACGCGCCTAAACCCCGCGTACGGGATCCACAAAGAAATATGTTGGCGGGAAGCTATG